CCCCCCATGGCCCGCGGGAGCGGCCCCAGGCCCCGGCCGGGCCGCGGGGACAGTCACAGCCCCTCACCGTGGCCATTACCGCACCCCATGGGTCACCACAAAGAGTAAATTACAGTAACGCTCTTTCAGCAGCCGCAGGGGAAAGCGTCTCGGTGGCGTCTCTGCGGAAAACACCACCCCTCCCCGCACCCCTTACCCACACAACAGCCGAGCCCGAGACTGGGCATAGCAAAACTTGTGATTTCTTAAATGAAGTCATGTGTGCCTCATAAAGCATCAGTTAGGGTGTGGTTTTCATAACACCACCATGGATCCATAAAATACCCAAGGTAAGGCTGACTGGTTCCTCACAGCTGCTTCCTCAGCCCTCCCGGCTCCCACCAGCACAGCCCAACCCCCCAGGTAAGATTAGTGAGATTTTTGTAATAGCCATTGAGTACCTTAGTGCTCATTAGAGCACAGGCAAAGCAAACAAAAAAACTACTGAGTTGCTAGCAATGCAAAATCATTGAATGGAGTCATTACTTCAGCATCAGGATCTTCCCCCCACGGATCCAGGACCCGATCCTCCATCCATGAGAACACCCACGAACCCCTGCAAGATTTCTGATGTGAGCACTACTGCTAACCAGCAGTAACTGTACTGCAGGTACTGCCGTGGTCATGGTTGCAGCAGAAAACTCTCATTTAAAAACACATTCTGTAGTAAAGGTCAAATGTTTGGAGCTGAAAAAGTCTGACTGCTTGCCATCTTTAAAGGTCTGTCAGCACTCTTCCCAACACCAATAGATAAATGCGTAGATACGAACCAAATCTCACAATGTATAACACCCCACATTTTGTCTAATAGCATTTTTATAAGCTTTAATTGCTTATTTTTCTCAGAAATTGCTGTGTCGAAAAAAGTTTGCCTCTTTTTTACATGTGCATCAGTATCAAACTCACAGCTAAATCAGAAGGTGCTGTATGTTAGGCTCACAAAAACCAACACAGATGTTTATTGGTTTCCGACTGACCCAGAAGAAGGGAAGACAGACACGAGGGGCAACTAAAAGGCCCAGGAACCAGCTGAAGAAGGGAAACATCACTAAAATACAATGAATGCACACTACAACAATTTATATAATCTGTGCTTTTATTCCTATTCCAGATCAGGAACAGAAATATTCCACTGCAAAGGGAGGCTGACAAACACGATAAAACTGCTTGCAGCAAATGTAGCCCTTTCATGCCACAGAACAACCCAACCAGCTTTTTCTTTGCGTTTTCCTTTCCACTGGTTCACAGGCATCATTTGTACCTGCCATGAAGACACCGCTGCCACAAGTACGACCCCGTATTTGTCATCATTAGTGGCTTACCTTGCGTAGAATTGCTTCTGTCTTTCCTGACTGGTATGATAAGGAAACAAGGACCTTTGACACAAGCAGGGCTGAACCATCTGCACATGGGCTGAGTTCTGTCTGCTCGGCTCTATTTCCTACAGAAGCGCAGTCACCAGAGATTCAGTTGCAGCACCTTTGTGCCCGGTAGACGGACTATTGCAGTAATAAACCAAACACCAGAACAGGACATTAGAGGGCAGCACACTCTTACCACCTGGCTTTATCCCAGCCATAGCAGAGGGAAAGGTAAAACACCTGTGCCCCAGTGCTTAGGGGTGAAAGGTTTCCATGCCCATTCCAAACAAATTTCCTGGTTTTGAATGACTGTAGTGTGCAAAAGGCAGATTTAAGAATATACCACACCAAGCTGAACCACATGAAGAGTGCAAGATTAACTGAAACAAACTAAGAGAATTTCTCTAGCATAGCGAGAACATAAACGTTTGAGTCACACAGTAACTTCCAAAATCCAGGGCACTATAATCTCATGTGAAAGTGTTTTTATTCATGAAAGCATGATTAAGTGTCCTTAATCAGACACAGACAACCCCTACACCAGCTGTACCAGGCATGAGTGCAATGCTACAGTTCACACAAACAAGGTGCACAGCCATGCTCAGATCACTGGGTATCTGAAGTGTTTATTTTATTCAGAATGACACCTGAGGAAAGGCTGGCTATCACTGCAAGTTATCATTAAGGCTTTTTACATGTTCTAACAAAATGGAGCTATTTAAACTATCAACATTCCTTACCACAAAACTCCAATTACACTACCACCTTTTGTAACACTTGAAAAGAAAGTCTGAAAGCCATTTTTACAAGCCTCACTTGAGAAATGTCAAGACACAGACACTGAACTTCCTGTTCATGCTCCAAGTAGTGATTTATGACAGGATATTTTAGGAAAATTCACATTTTCATGTCTAACTACTGCATAGCCCTTTTACATCTCCAGTTGCCTATCAGCATTACAACAAATTAAACAACTGAAGGTTTAAAAGGCTGAGGATCAGTAAGTGATGCACATGAAAACAGGCTAAAATTAATAGAATAGGTTCAAGCTTTCCATTATTAATTTGTACACAGACGTGAAGAGAAACTCTGCAGTATCTGATTTTATTTCACTTGCCCATTTTGAGACCTCACTAAAAACAGCTAGAAGTGAGCAGGTAGTGAAGAAAAGGGTTAGAGTAGTTGTTTGTATTAAAAAAAGGGGGGGGTTGTTAAGTCTAATCCAACATGAACCGAACACAGCTTGCAAACCAGAGATAAAGCCTCCTGCTCATAAGCTAGCCACCTGTCCTATAAAGGAAGCTGCTGTGAACAGACTGCAAGACTAAGGATCAAGATACCCTTCTCAGCTATGAAAGACCGTAAGAAGTAGGATCCAGGCACTCCCCTGAACTCAATAAATCCACATTCTTAAATGTAAGCACTGTAACTACATGTATTTAATATATTCCACATTAAAAGCATTCACAGCTAGTTATGTCTGACTTTAAGGGATGTTATGTTCACAGACCAAATATCCCTCATACTTCTATTATCTCTTAATTCTACCCTGGAAAAACATGACTTTTTTCATTATTCTGCACATTTCTGGCCTTAAAATGGATACCTGCCAAGATCTTTTAGTCAAAGGGAAAGCAAAATCGGATGCATTTTCCTCCATCTCAATTTAAAATTAAGCCTTTATTTCAGCCATTTTACGCAGAAACCTCTCACAGCAGTTGGGATAAGCAGACTGTTACACCATTACACTGTTACATTCAGTTGCAGAGATATGTCTCACTTCATACAAATATAAGCAAAAGGTGTGTTTGTGGTGAGGTTTTTCACCCCTTAGGCAAAAGCATCAAGGAGCAGTTCTTAAATGTCTCGCTGTGCCAAGTGCATCATTCTGCACTCTTTGCATCAGAAGGCCAACCAGTAATGCAGTAAATCTTGCCTGTGGAACACGAGGAATTAAACCTTCGTGTCATGACAAATCTTACCTGACAGAAAAGCACATTCAACTTGCTTGAGGAATCCAACTGTTCAGTGAAAACCGTCTATATTCAGGTGTTGTCACAGGTGGGGAGGGGGTCATTAACTGCACAAAGGTATAACTACTACTTCTTGGATTATTTTAAGTTAGAAGTTAAAACTTAACTGAGCACTACCCTAATATCTTAACTCTGAAAATATCTGAGGCACAAATATGTGTGTGTACTTGTTTTATTCATAATTTGTCTTGGGATACCAAATGTATTTCTACTTCAGGTGATTTAACAAAACCATTGACCTTATTTCAAAACATCCATTGATCCATTTTCCATTCAATGGTAATATTGAATGTTGAAAGGAACATAAAAACAAACATGCACACAATTGTACAGTTTTCATAAATGTCTATTTCATTATTTGGGGGTAGCGCATTAAACAGTTAAATACACTTAAATAATGTTTCCGTGACTGCACTAATGCAGAATTTTAACTAGATGGGTAACCAATTTAACTAGAAACCAGCTAACAAGTAACTGTCTAAATACTTCAAATACAGCTGTTGTTCTAAGTCATCCTTCTTGGAAAAAAAAAGCCTGCTGGTCACATTGGAAATAGATTTTAAGGCCAAATTCTTCTGATATCCCTTCTCTGCAGCAGTTTCTTTGCCTTTTTAAGCCTCCAATTCCAGGCCAAGACCAAGTTTATGGCCACCAGCATTGATGCTCTTTCCATCTATCAGGGCAGACAGTGTAAGCTTCACACCTGTAAGATTTTTAAACAGCATGTTTGCAACATACAATCATAGAGTAGCTTTCATGCATCTCAACCTCCATCATTACAAATCCCAGTTGTAGTTCTTTTTCTATTTCATTGCTTTCCTCTAAAGATTTCTACAGAAGAATTCATTTTCCTATAGAATCTATTGAAAACTAGTAGTGTGGATCAGGCTAGATGCATTTTGCAAATACTGTGTTATAATGTGGATACACGAAGTCTCAAATTGGTAAGTACACAAGAGCTCCCCTTTTCTACACTGAGGTGTGCAAAGAAGGAGGAAAACTATGCAGAAAGACAGACACTTGTAACAAGGAATGGAAGGAATGAAACTACAATTTGTATTGGTTTTCAAATAAGGAACTAACCAATGGTAATACAGCATTAATAGGTGTTTTCATATTTAAGCAGAAACAAGGAGGTTTTTTTACTAAATATAAAGCGCAGGAAGTGTGCTCTCTTGACAATCATTATTTCAAGATCTGCTATCATTCAATACGACTGGAGAAAATGCTAAAAAAAGGCTGCTTGCACAGCCTAAAGCTATCAAACACAATGCAGTCTACTCCTACACAAATCAGTGAAAAATATGACGCAGAAACTCCATTAGATACAATGGAATTTGTCTTGTTTAGACAAAGGTCTGATGTGCAACATAAGCTACTATAAAACATTTACTTTGCCTTCAAGACAAAGGTATTCTGAAGAAGGGAAATAGTTGCATATAAATTTTCTTTGTGATACACAGAAGATATGTAAGTGACATAATTCATGTGATAATCCTTACCTGGCCTCAGAGTCTGGGTGTAACCCACTCCAACTAGACTAGAATTGTTCACTTTTGCCTGAAAAAAAAAAAAAGAAAAAAAGAAAAAAAAGACAAAAGCAATTTAAATGTTGTAAGTTCTTTGCTATCATTCAGAAACTAGAACAACTATGGCAATACTGCCATTATCAAATTTTACTTGTGCTTTCAGTATCTCTGTGCTTTCTGGATTCTCTCTTCCCAGCTATGCCCCTGCCCTCCAACTTACAGCTGAAGTAGTAACATATTTAGCAGCAGACCAAATTTAAGGGCAGGGAGAAATGTTACTGGAATGTAGTCTGGCAGGTGAACTTCCCCACTCCCCCTTTTTCAGAAGGCCACAGCAACTTACCACCACTGTCTCCCAAAAAAAGCCACTTCAGAAGAATGCTCCGTGTTTATATTACAAAATACTTAGTATCTTGCAGGTCCAATTAGTCAAGCAGCAAACATTTCATAATGTCATCATAAACAATACGTGCAAAATTATTTATCTCATTTTGCATCACATCCTCTATAGGATGATTCCAACAATCCATATAACATACAGAAAACTTTTCTGCATATCACCTTTTTAACCAGTATCAGAGTTGTTACCACGAGAACGTGACAGAACTCCCGAAAAACTGTTCTTAAAAAAAATTCTGTAAACTTACAGAACTAGACATGAAGGGGGTTCCTCCCGCCTTTTCTTTTTTTAAATAAATACATTGAAATTCCTCTAGACTGGCACAACATTTGACAGTCAGATTCTAGGAGACTTTGCTGTATGCAGCATTACAGAATTTAAATACTACTGCTTTAGTTATAACTGTCTGGATTGCAAGAGTAATTCCCACAAGACTTCCTGACCAATTACCTTCTTTTGTACTAGTAACACACAGATTCGCAGAAACTGGAAATACACTGTGCTGAGCGGAACCCTTTTGGTTAGAGCCAGACTTACAGAGATAGAGGCAGTGGAATCCAACTTGTATTTAGCTGCAATGCCAAAGCGAGTGCTGTTGCTACCTGCTGTCCAAGCCAGGTTTACAGCAGTTTCAAGACTGTCACTCACTTTCTGGTAAATTGACCCACCAAATTCTGAACCATCATTGCTGCAAAGATTAAGAAAAAAGTTAGTTTCCTATATTTGCATAATCCCAATCTTTATTTTTTTATCAGCTTCCAATTTTTGTTCAAATTTGTCCAACTTTGTCCAAAAGTTTGAGCTGTTTCACACTTTGACAGGAGAAGGAGAGATGAACAAAGGTTTCAGGGTAAAATTAAACTGCAATAGTTCATGGAAAAAAAAAAAAAAGATATTTCAGAGTGCTACAGCTAATTCTTACACTAATGTTGAATTAAGTACCTGAATGTAATTCCAGGTCATATCCTAAATTCTATTATTATTGAATACATATGATATTCCTAAAGAACTAGATGACCTTTTTGAAAATCTGTCACAATGTTTGACATTAGTAAACTGAAACTACAGTCCAGACTGTAAAGTGTTTTGTAGCTTCCTCCCATACTCTTCAACTTCCATAAATCCAGACACAATTCTCATTCTTCCCCTCCAAAAGGACAAACTTCTACCTCAAAAATCAAGTAAGTTATTTCCTAACTAAATGCACTAGAACAAGAGCATTTTTATTAACTTAGACTGAAAACACCACGCTCTTCAGTAGGTTTTCATCAGTTTGCTCTGAAGAAGATTTAAGATCTAAAGGCAGCAAGTTTGAAGAAAGTTACACTCTAAATGCTTCATGCACTTTTCAGCCCAGAAGGCAAGAAGATGAACTTACTCAAAAAGTCCAAAAGCAAAGCTCTAGTCTTGCTCCAGAAACTACTACTGGCCTACTTAAACACTGCAATGCTAATTACTACCTCTAACAAATATACTACCCTTAAATTATATTCAGATACAATTCAATGTAATGGGAAAGCTGGAAAAGCATTATTCTGTGTAACTGAACTATTCAACTTCCAATTTGGATGTATTTCAGTACTTGGTAAACTGTAGCACAGATTATGCAGTAAGTGCTAACAAGCCACAGGTATCTACTGTTTTGAAAAAGAGAGACAAAAAGTAACTCTTATAATTTATTTAGAGTTTCCTATTGAAAAATGCACTCCACTTAATGGCCTTGCAAGCACCACTTAGTATTTTAAGCATTTGTATTCTAACTAGAAGGAGAGGTACAGAAAGCCTGTAAAGTTTCTGTAAATTGGGACACAATTTTCAGTACTTACACATTAGTGTGCAGTTGGAAGTCTCCAGTCTTGTAACCCACAGAGAAGTTGTTTCTTGTCAATTTTGATTTGGCACTATCAAAAGTCATCTGATAACCAGCAAGCCAGCCTTCATAACCAAAGACAGCTGAACCATGGATTGCAGGTCCAGCAAAATCAAAGTCAACATCACAACCTAGGTTTAGGCATTCACGTTTATAAGCTGACTTAATTTTACCACTTTTCTTTCTGAAACAGAGAAACAGTTATCTTAAGACAAGGCTTGATCTTCCTCAGTGAACTGCCAAATTCAAGCCGTATGGCTCTACACAATGTATCTCAATGCCATACACATGCATCCTTCAGACTGGGCCAAAGCACAGCTAGTCCATCAAGAAAGCACATGGCTACAGCAAACATGCATTTTGTGATGAATGTAGAGGCATTTTCATGTCTCCCGCAACCTTCCAAGTATTTCTATCCCAGAAAATAAGCAAAGTGAGCTGTTGTGAAATGTCTAATACTAACCCTGTAGGAAAAGATGTGGTGCTAAAGAGCAGAAGCCTTTAGCATTGGGATATGCTAATCTGGATCAACAGCAAATCACACAAACATCTCTGTCAATACAACAGACCAGATGAACATTTACTGACTATGGGTGCTGTTGCTGCCCTAAATCAGGTTAAAAGGTTAACAATTCTTACCCTGTATTTGGTGAGAAAGTTGTATCAAATGTCAACTTCAAGCCTTTGGCAATCTAATTGAAGGAGGAGAATACAAGATAAAGCTATAAATTCAGTTCTGCTAGTTAGGTAAAACAAATAAATACTCTCCTAATCTATTACCTGATCTTCAATTGCAATTTCTGTTCCCAGAGTGTTATCTGTGTTCCATTTTTCTGTGAAAGTCAGCCCATACTCAGCCCATTTGTATTTGGTCTCCAAGCTCCCATTCACTTTTCCAGTGTCTGTGTTCGATGAACCAGATGTTGTGAATTCCTAAAAAGGACAGCACCCATATTATACAGAATATAGATGTGATCCTGAAAGCACTACACAGTGCCAAAAGGGGAAAGACTTTTCTTCAGCAAAAACTAAGATCTTATTATATTCAGTAAGTTTAATAACGTTAGACAACTTATGGGAGGAGAAGGGGGAACGACAAGAACTAGACTACACATGCCCACACGGAGGTCTCCCCCCACTGTCTCAACTGCAATGTTTCTGCCACTATTACAAAATGTACAGGTTTGCAACACAACTCAGAAGCATGACAGTGGTTATTCTAAGTATTCTCCTTAAAAGCATAAACAAGTTCTTGAAATGAAAGGTTAAGTCTGATACTCCTAACAAGCAAATTAAAAATCAAACCATGAGCCAAGAATGCTATAAGGCACATAATTCAACTCCAGTAAAATTCTTTAAGGATCAGATATGTATTTTCATTACTCCAGTCAATCAATTCCAAAGATAAATTAGGTACCACTGTAAAATGTCATAGAATGCCAGCATTTTTCAAATTAGAAGTGGGGTGGGTGATGGTTTGTTTTTTGGGGTTTTTTCTTGCCTTTCAAGAGAGTTCTCAATTTAACTAGTGCACCAGCCTTTCACACAAGCACACGTGTTTTTACTGACATCTATAAAATTCCCATTCCTCTGACACTTTGGTTTAATGACACAGAGGAAGAACATTCATGTTTGAACTGGGAGCTAAGGCAACACTGTGATTTTATGCTTCTGGTAGAGTCTTACTCAGAATTCTTTAAAGTATTTAAAAGTTAGTAAGAGCGCTCACATCTCCTTATTAAACTAAGTAGTCTCTGATGTTTCTCACTATTTGGATTCTCACAAAGAACCGAATGAATAATTTTTGTGTACCACTATTCAAAAACTAAAGGCAATACCTAGCAGAAGTGGAAGTCTGGTTTACAAATACATGATAAGGAGCTCTTTCCACTGAAATATTATTGCCCTTATAGTTTAAAAAAGGTTATTATTTCAACTTTTAAAAAATATAAATCAAAATTTTGATCTCTGACTTCCTCCATGCACAGTATTATTTTTAAATTGACTCCTCACACTCACCTCTCCCAGAAGGAAACACAGATTTGAAATCACAAGTCCTTAAGCATTCACATTCTCACAGTCCAAGACCTACTACTGCACATCGCAAGTGCACTTGAGACTGTTCTTTAATGGTGGCTGATCAAATTTAACTGTGGCCAAGACATTTATTTCTATTACGTTAGTGAACCACTAAACCATCCACGCAGTTGCACAACTCCAGTAAGGTCTATTTCTTGGCAAGTGACAGGAACTACGCAACTTCAAGGCCAAATACCTTCAGCTTCTAACTTCTTGCTTTGGGCTAGTCCTACTGCACAGGGTATATGTGACTGCAACCATTGTGGTAATAGCTTCAAGAGCAGCAAATTATTACATTATCTCTTGTCTCTGCTTTAAAGCATCCACAGTACATACATGCCAGGATTTTCTCCTCCTGAGATGGATGGCTGATAACTGAATATGGGATTCACATGAGGGCTTGGATTTTTCACAGAGTTTTACCAGTATTACTGGTAGTCCTCAGTAGAGGAAAGAAGCTCAAATAAGATCAACTACATTTATAATAGGGCTCCTGCAAACTGTGCTTCAGTTGGGAAACAGACTTCTGGAAAAAAAAAAAACCAACAGTGTATAACCCATGCACCACCTCGTTCCTAACAACCAGTTACACTGTTAAAGCTTCCAGTTATGGGTGAGGGGTCAGGGGGAGAATCTACCTTTATAAGTTGCAAAGTCTGCACTAGACAAATAGATAAAAGTTACAGGAGGCACTATTTGCATGACCAAGACATCTTGCATTTAACATTACTACAACACTTTAATACCTTTAAAGCAGAGCCAAAGACTCAACGTGTTCATTCACTCTGCCAACTACTTCACAAAAGCATCAAAATGCCAGGTATTTCCACCAAAACCAAGTAGTAACACAAGGCACTTCAGAAGTAAATTCTGTACTATGACTGATATATTAAAATACTTCAAAAGTGTGTCAGCTATTTGTTCACCTTCAGACATAAGATGAGGGACAACTGTTAAACATTTCTATTTCCCAAAGATTACTAAACAGTGTGATACCCCTGTTACATTGAGAATAAAGCCAGATCTTCAGGGGCTTCTGAAACTATTGTACACTGAAAGTTTATCATTCATATAACCTATAAATTAGTTAACACCATGTGAAAGGTATCCTTTCTAATTAAATATCAAAACATCCAGAAAAAAAAAAATGTAACAAGAGGTATTTAAACTCACCACTCCACTTGCAGATTTTGTTTTCACGTCCAGTTTCACCAAGCCAAAACCTTAACAAACAGAAGTCAAAGTTACACCAGTAGGCCTTAACTAAGACCATGCACATTTTCCTAGAAGCTGGTTTTCCAAGCAGTCTCAGCAGCATGCCACATATATACATATGTAAAAAAAAAAAAAAACATAGACCAACTTCAGTAACACTCAAAGAACAAGCCAGGAGTTTTGTTCTAGCATCACCACATAGAAATTGTGGAGTAACCTCTTATGTTGTACAGTGTACGTTTAACTACCAAACAATGACTTCCAAGAGTAAATTCAGTGGCAGACACAATGCATCTTTTTGTGTTCCTGGTATGGCATCAGCTTTGTAGTCAATGTCATTTGAAGAGCTATCCCAATGCATAAAATTCATCTCTAGCACCAAGAAGAAATATCTCAAAGTAAAAAAACTGTAAAAGTGAAGTCACTGGGAAATACACAGCCACTTGGACTGTAATATAAGTACGTTTTATGGGAGTGTCAATTTGCATTGTTACCCTTAGAGCTGAGTAACAGCCTTGGTGAAAAAGCACCACATGCATTCCCAAAGACTAGAAAGAAAGAGCACTGTAACAAAGCAGAATTTAACTGCCTGGTATTAACACATTTTAAAACGTGGAAGGATTCTTTATCCCAACAGCTATTCCTCTTTCTATTCCAAAGAGAGATGTAACGTTACAGTGGTATATATCTCTTTCTAGATCAAGAAATGTTGTGGCACAGATAGATTGGTAAACCAAGTGTACTCCTATGTTAAATTACACTTGATGCTTACATTTCTGCATACTTGTACACCTCTGACATTTATGTGGCTAAAGCAGTAAGATTTAACAGACTTCATATCAAAACAGCTCACAAAATGTCTCCAATGATCTGTTAGTTGATGGCAATGATATAACAACAACACACCCTCCCCCTCTCCAGAAACACAGGTATTTGAGCACTCAATTTTACCTACAGGCTTAAAAAGGCAATTCATTGCTGCACCACAAACATCATGTTTTACAAAAGGTACCATTCTTACCATATCCTTTATTGAAGATATCTCTGGCAGATTTGCCAAGGTCTACATATGATGGAGGGATCGCCATTGGAGCTGAAAGGCAACAGGCTAATTAATAGTGAACCTTTTACCATAGCGTACACACAACAAAATGCCACCACAACTCGTAGAAAATACTCTTTAAGACAGATTCATATATGAAGGCAGTTAATAGATGACTCGAACAATTACGGAATTCTGTGAAACACCTACAGATTTTCAGTGATGGTCACTGTGAACATTGACTGTTTTCTTGGCTTAGATAATCTGCTTGCATTTAGGCATTACAAGGTCATCCAGTTCTTAATTTTTCAAGTAGATGCCATTAACTAACAATCAATCTCATGAAGATTTCCCCCCCTATAATGTGCAAGAGTTTAAGTTTGGGGGGGACGGGGGTTGTCTTGTTAGTTTAAAATAAGCAAGTAGCAGGAGCTCTGGGTCAGTGAGAAAAGCTCGCTCTAAGAGTCCCTTTCTCAGAAGAGGAGTCTCTGGCAATCTCACTGCTAAAGAACCTGCCATTCAGGACTAGCTATGACCCAGCCTCCAGGGTCTGATGGACAGATACCAGCCTAAGGTCTCACACAGGCCTGTGTGGTTCTCCTCCCTGTCAAGATAAGACACTCTATCTGCACCTTCCTTCAATGACTATTTTACCATTATTTCAACAACAAAAGGCCACTGTTACATAGGCACTACATTTTAAAGTTTTAAAATACAGAATACAAAGCATATTTCAAAGAGCTAATAACTCCCCCCATGCTATGAAAGGGGGAGGTGGG